GAAAGGGTTACCTCCAGCCGGGCCAGAGGCGCGCGAGTACGACTTTGCCAGTGCCTGAACAACGGAGCTGCGGCGTCGCATTTCGACAATCTCGTCCTCGTCTTCATTCTCTGCACCCTTTCCAAGCGTCTCTGCTGGGGATGATGACTCCACTTCCTCGATATCTTCCTTATTCTTGGGGGTCTTAGGAGGCTCTTCCTTGGTGGTCGTTTCGGTAGCTGAGTCAGGTAATGTTTCTTTGACTTCGGCTGTGGGGTTTTCCTTCGCAGGAACCGCTTCGCTGGTAGGAGCGGCCATGGTGGGCTTTATTTGATCTCGCGCCTCGAGGGGCCGAGTGTGCTACCGTATTAAAGGAGCTCTAGAGGTGGGATGGTAAATGGGTGGTGGCTCTAGGTCGATTAGCCAGCCCACTCTTCACCTATCGTGTAAGAAGGGGGGAGGGGTTCGGTATGTAGAGAGTGTGAGAAGAGAACAAAGTAAGGAATGAAGAGGGGTCAAGGTTTGGAGAGAAGAATAGAGTTTCGAAAACGAGGACGGGGAGGCGTATATTAAGAAAAAAAGAATATCCAAGGGGAAGAGGGCGAGCTTGAGATAAAAACACGGGTTCGGAGTTGACAAGGCGCGAGTACTACTCGTGGGTCAATGCCATGTACCTCTACGCCTGGAAACGGCGGGCAGGGGCCGCAATGGAGGCTTTGATGAGGAAGGAGGTACCTCCGCGGGTGGGATACCCCCGAAAGGGGACAGAAAGTACCCAAATCGATGTACCAAGTGCAATGGCGCCGTAAGATCAGATTGCGGATTTGCAGGAGCCAGGCATGGGATGGAGCAGGAAGCAGGCAGCCGTGGAGCACTCCGGGGCGGACGAAATGATCGGAGCCAACTTTCGCACTCTACTTGCAGCCCGACCGTCCGCCAAGCAGGCAAATCAGCCACTGGGCCCCGCCGCTAGTGCTCTGACAACGAGCGCGCACACACCGTTATCCAAATCGATTGATGGTGCTAACTCCTGCCGGCTACCGTATACGAAAGCGAGCCAGCCAATCCCCTGTGAGCCTCACACCCTCCCGATTAGGAGCAAAAGCGTCATCAGAATGAGCCATCTCCCCTCCAGTGAGCAATTGTCAATATGGGGGCGTTCCTTCAACCATTATGGTGCTTGTCCACCAAAGTTCGATTGGAAAACAACCGCCCGGCGCATACGGCACAGCACAGTCATGTCTAGACCTAGGATTGCGTCCATCTAATCGCAACGGGTTGCCGTCCATTGGCCCCCACGGCGTCGCATTTGAGATCTCTCCAGAAACCGATTCGGTAGCCATTGGCCGCTCCCGTCGTGCCTCTGCGTTTCAGCCATGACCTGTGCCTGTGTCTTGCCTGAGTACCGCTTATACGCGCGCGCACACGGCCACACCCAGAAGACTTCCCCCCACCCACCGCCCGGGCCGGGCGGCCGCCTACAGGCTGCGAACAGCGAACCCTGTAACATCAACCTATGGAAGGCCCCATGGGCGAGGAGATGCCTTTTCCAGTGGTGCAACACTATCCTCAAATTGTTCAATTCAATACCTGCATGCTCCTTGACCATGTTTCCAGCACCCAGACACACTATTCCGGTATCCAAATGATCCGTCTATGATTCGTCTTTCCATTCTTTCTCTCCCGATGACAAGAATACAGCTGTGAAACGACTTGTTTGTTTAGAAGCTTGCCTCTTCCAATATTCTACGCTAGACCAGGGATTAGGGCCCGTCATTTCGGGGTCTTCGAAGAACCCGACAGCCCGCCGCCATACACCCCCACTGAAATTCTAATGACAACCAAAGGATTGAATTTGCCTGGGTACAGCAACAGGCGTGTCGAACATCACCATGCACGGCAAATACGCACTGCGGCGCAGCCTGTGCCATCAACACAGCAGTGCCGAAACAATCGCCTCTCTGGCTCTTCCAGCACCGGCACCCCCTGTGCCTCCAATTCCGCCATCGTGGGTTTGGCCAGGGTAGACCACAACTCTGTTTCAGAAGCCCGCCCGGAAATTCAGACATTGGTCATTTCTAGGTCTCAGCTTCAAAGCTGTATGACGCTCACAAAGCGTGGTGATCTGGCTTTCTGAGTCAGGACTTCCCAAGCCGTCTCCATCCCCGACATGACACCGCACAAATGCACCTCAGAGTCATAGACCGAGACGGCCACCTGTTTGAGGGCATGCCGTGCCCATCCTCTATCAACAAATTTAGCTATCGTGCATTGAGGACTCGTGGCAACGTTGCAGGGCATCATGTCGGGACAATGGGTGGTATCTCAGATCGATCCAGCGTTCAGGGTCTTGCCATGGGCCAGTGCTCGTCGCATTCCGTCGTATTGGAGATCTCGCTACATATCCCACATCTAGTCCGCGACCAATCGTAGCACCCTGCTGACGGTATTCCGCTTGCTGGGCCGACTCCACATAACGACCCTACTTGGCTCAAAAACTTTAATATTCTTAGGTATGCATTGAAGTCCGAATTGAGCCATCTCCTAGCACATCCTACTAGCACTGTCCAATACCTGTCACTTGAGCGTGGAAAACACCAATTGTCCGCAAAATCCGCCATTCCCCACTCCGCCGCCCTGTGTGATGGGTGGGACTCCGCAGTTTGCACCATCAAGAAGATTTTCACGGCGCTCCAGCTGGTCGATCCTGAAGATACGGAGTACGACGTGGTTATCTATCTTTCTGCCTAACAGCCCAGAGGTGGTCAGCACACCATCACACCCTCACAATTGTACATTCGGCGAGACTCATCCAGTGGAACAGTCACATTGGTTGATTGGCTCACTTCTGATCACATTACCAAAAGGCCTAACGAGGATGTTGGCGCAAGTTGGTGATAGACTCGCATTAGCGGAGGCCATACGGGGAAAACCCACATGTAACCCGTTCACGATAATGCAACTGACTAGCAACGCCCACCACCTTTGCCCTTCACCCAAACTAGTACAATTACGGCCGATTACACGGATCAGCACCAGTATTTTTGTCAGCGTTTGTCTTCAATGTTTTCAGTCCTCAAAATCAGAGCCGTGCACTTGTCGGATACTAACAGTGCTGGGTAGGCGACATGGACCCCCGGCAAGCCACGGATCCGTCCTTGAGCACGGCCTGACAAATCTTGTCGGTGTCATGCTGAAGTTTGCAGCCGCGGACGTGCTCTCGGGTTGAATTAAGATCCCGACACTGCGGTAGACGACCAGTTCCCCGTACATGACGCGGACGAACCAATTGCGAGCGGAATTGCATCATTAGTAACAGCCACGCCTCGACTGGCTTATTACCTGACTTGCTGCGTTGACACGTCAGATGCTCTGTACGCGGGCAGGCATAGAAAATATGCCTCACCAAAGGGCAATTCGCTGACAGGGTGTTGTTAAATAATAATTTCTGCACAATGGAAATGGTCTTCTCCAGCTGCCTAGAACCGGCCAGCCTCGGGCACAGCCGCAGTAAGTACCGGGCCCACCCGGATTTAACAGCTTCGCCCTAGAGTTCATATTACCTTATTAGCACAAGAGAAGCTATTGCCAATACGCCAGGGTTCGCACATATAACTTGATAATCTCTTCGGTGAGATCAGGTCAAGGTGTCGCAATTGAAAAGGGGTTGCCAATCTGTCCTTTGGCGGTGTTAAAGCGCTCGGTGTAGGTCTCCTGGTATCGGCCAACTCAGCCCTAGATACATACCGTAAATGTGTAGGTGACATTGCCGGCTATTAAACTATTATTCTATGCGGCGATACTTCCCAGCACACTGGATTTGAACGTTCCAAATGTAATTTGTCTCTGAACTCATTACTTCTGTCGTTATCTCAGCCAAGGCTCGTTCAAACTGGGTCACTGGAATAATAACTAAGCGGACAATAGGAATCCCCGGGGTCAGCGTATGTAAAAGGGGTAGTATGAAGCGCACAGAAACAGCCCCTTTTTGCTTTTAGGCCCACCAAGATCCTCAGCTTGACAGGGACTCGTTCTGAGCCTTGTGGTTGAAACAAAGCAGATGAACAGAAGCCATCGTTCATGCTTAGCTAGCCACATACCGTGACCGTACAGCGCTGCCTTCGCATAGAATTTAACGCGATAATTGAAGATTATACACATTCTAATCGGTGAACCGATGTGCTAACCAGGACATAGCTGTGGCAATGCTGGCCCTACCCTGTCCATTCATTTCTAATGATGCCGATATTATGCGGACAAAACATGATTCAACAGGACCTTTCAAAAACAAGCATCAGGGCTCTGTGTTCATCTTTTGAATGTATCTATATTTAGTTGTAGGTTGTCTTGGATTAGTGTCATGCCACTGATACATCGGTTGTTCGTTAGAGGCCAGAGTGTCGACTCAAGGAAAAGGTGTATGATATTTTGTCTTTTATCGTGTTATGTAGGTAGCTTGACGCTCCCATCGACGACGGACAATATTATGTTTGGCGATCTCTTTGTAGTGTGTTCTTTTAGAGGATTTCTCTGGTGAGTTGTTGTATCATGATGTGCTCATCACGTCGAATTTAGCAAGCATACAGGCTGAATCCTAGACACAGCCCAGCAATTGCTTGACTGTCCATCTCAATCAATGCAAAACCAACAAGATAAATCAAAATACGGTTCAGCCCCCTAAATAATACAGAGTCCTCATATTCTGCTTGAAGATCTACAGCCGTTTCCATATTCTTGGTCGACATCATGATACAGGGTAGGTGCACGTCTCACCTGTGTCACTCCTTCCTCAGCAAAACAACATGCCTTCTTTCCTTCCATTTCAACACCAGACTTCATTAATGAAATGATCGCAACGCATCAATAATTCTCATGCAGATGTATTTCTTTGAATGCGACCACACATCAACGTCTCTGGTCGCGCTATACTGAACCTCGGTCTTGGCTGAGCTCTCAGAATGCATCATAACAGTCCTGTCAACCAATACACGTGACGGTCCTTCACCACAAAACACAGCACAATGGTGGAATCCGAGCCAAAGGTCCCCTCAAGCGCTGCCATGCCTAAAGGGTATGGGTTCCTACCCAAGGGGGACCCATACCGCACCGGACTGTGTCGCCGGCTGACCCAGGCGGCTGGGAAGCAAGTGTACGTCGTTGTCGATAAGAGACGGACAGCGGTCGGCATCAGAGCGCCCAAATACATAATCAACGAGGTGAACGAGAAAGACCGCGCGACGAGAGAGGATCGCCGCGCGGCTGTACAGAAGCGAGATGTTGCAACGCGGTCAGATTTCGAGGTCGCAATTCTACGTCTGTTTCCTAGAATCCCTCCACACGATCTGGAGAAAGTCCTGGACCGAGCGCTTAAGAAGCGCAGTGGGAGAGTTGGGCGGACGGGGAAGTTAACAATCGATTCTAAGGCTCGACTCGCGGTGATGGCGCATATCAGGCATAACCATACAGAGTACGACAGTCTGCTCAAACAGAAGGGAAAATCACGAGGATCAGCAAGAGATGATATTGCTCCCAAGCTTAAACAACTTTGTGGCGAATGGAGGGAAGGCGCCCAGAGCGGTGCTGCTCACATCAACGAGGCATCTGTATCGGCAGCACGAGGATCACCGGGCCGAACCAATCAAGAAAATACGAGGATTTCGCGTCGAGCTCGAAGGGTAGCCGCTACCATTCTTGATGGAAAGCATTCAGAAAGACAATACACTACAGATGCGAAGAAATGCACACACGACAACAACGGCCAAACCACTTCCAGAGATCCTCCACGTGGCCAGAAAAAGAAACGGAATAGGAAGAAAGAGACAGTGCCTTCGAAACCTGTGACGGGAACCAAAACAAGGCAGGAAACGAGGCAGACCCGAAATACCAGTAATCTCGACAAGGCTAAGCTTCTAGGTCCTGATGCTCTGATCATTATTTCTAGTGATGAAAGTGATCCGGAAGACCCCGAGGCTGAGACCGACCCAGGAGGAGAATCCGATAATTCGTTTATTGTGGGCGATCATTCCGACCATTTCATGGATGAGGATTGGGAAATCGATCTGGATTCGGACTCGGACTCGGATGAAGAGATGGAAGATATCGAGCAATAGCTCTCAGCTCTTCTCAAGAGATGGTTATATGGCATAGAATTGATGTACGGAATCGCCTTGATTCCGCGATGAAATGTAGATTTACGTTGCTCACGACAATGGGTACTGAGCTTTATGTAGAAAGCTGTTTAGAAACACAATAATAAAAAGACCTTCCAGGAATCAATGCATCTTTTACCTTCACCATACTTCATCTCATCAACTTCCACATCCCAAACACACCAGGAACTCTCAACCACACCAAAACCCCCCTACTAAACAACAAGCTCCAGCTCATCGCTCTGAAACTCTCCCTGAAACGCATCCGGATTCCCATCCGGGTCATCCAACGACGCCTGCCCAATATCCTCCTTAACCATCTTCCAAACCGCCTTCCACCTCCCCTTCACCACCACCTTGGCCCCCGCCAGCCGCGCCGGATCCAAGAAGACCCCGTCGTCAAACTCAATCTCGCTCGTCGTCTGGCCGCCCGGCGCAAGGGTGACGAGCTGCTCCGGCCCAGGCGGCCAGACCCGCCGGAACTGGATCCGCGGCAGCTCCAGCGGTCCCGCGGCCCCCTCCGGCGTCACGAGCACGATGCCCAGCCGCAGGGCGGCCCTGTCGACCGGCGAGTCGTACGTCAGCAGCGTCACGGCGAAGCTGTTCCTGTTGGTCACGGTCACGGTGACGACCGGCGGGGGGGAGGACGTCTTGGCCTGGGTGAGGGAGACCTCGAGCCCGGGGATGGGGCTCTCGGCTTCCGCGAAGTCACTCTGCCCGGGCATGGCAGCTGGGCTGATACCGCGCTCCTGGTTGCTGCCGGCCGTGCCGCGTTTCGAGATGGCGCCGTAGCCGGGCCTGCACATTGCAGGATGAAACGCGAGGAAGAGGGCAAGGAAGGTAAAAATAAAGGCACGGGGGCTCCCGCGGGCCGAACCCGTACGGACCTGCATTTGATGAAGGAGAGTGAGTAATATTTCCTTCTATTAAAGACTATAATGAGATTGATTTGAAAGAAAGGAAACTTTGGAGGGGAACAAGGCCATTTTTACATTTTCGTGAATAACATTCCCTGCATACAAGCCGGCCGCCAACTGCGACATGATGGAGCAAGAGATGAGGAATTTATTCAGCTCTTGTGTCAGTCTGGACCTTTTATTCCAGGGTCCTCGGCAACTGTCTCAAGACGGTGGTCTCGTTTGGTCTTGTCTGAAGGCAGTGTCTTGGAGTTTCTCCACGTTGGCAGACGCTGCGCATCATGTGAGCTTCTTTGCCACGGCCTGACTGAGATCGGTAAAACGAATACGAATCTTATTAACCTTGTGTGTGCGTTATAAACAAGTAGAATCCAGTCTGATCGTAATAACATGTAGAGTTTCTTCAGAATCATATCCCATCCGTCCCAGAACAATACTGCAGATAAAAGTTACAAAACGAGTATATGTCTCACTCGAGCCTCCCATTCCCAAGAGGCTTCCCAAAATAGAACAATTTATGCGCCATGAACAGTAGTTATCCCAATCCCCATCTATTTGTTGATTTTCTGATTCGCCTTGTAACTTCGCTTGCTGTGAGAATAGAAAGAGATATGCTGAAAGATCGTAAATCCGAGGCCGTTAAAGAAGGACATTAAGAAACGCCACACAAGAAGGAATTAATATGTTCTTAAGTTAGGGTAGCAAACATTGCTCGCATGAGTCCTGGCGAAGGTCCTGCGCAGCCCAAGTCAGCCGCTTGTCCGGGGAGTTTTTCATCGACGAAGGGGTACACTGAGACTTAACCGACCCTTCTTGTCCTTCTCAATGCGAGGAGGCTTATGGTGGTGGATTACTTTCTCCACCTCTTCTTCATACACAACAAGCTGACCATCGGGAAGGCGTTCAGCATGAACGACCTCCCTTCCTCTTACTGGCCCAATGTCCCTGGGGCGGTGCACAAGCTCGCGCTCCAGGGCACGGATCTCGGCACGAATCTCTCGGTTGCTCCTGGACTTGGATCGCGAACGGGATCTATCGATGATAGCCACAGGGCCCCCGTGGTGATGGTGATGGCTGCCGCTGCTGCTGGAGCTTGTGCTGGTAGAACGAGATCGATGAGGAGAGGCATCAATGATGACCGGAGCAGGGGCCTGCACAACCGTAGGACCTGGTGCGGCGGCTCTAGGAGGAGCCGGAGCTGGAGGCGGAGCTCTCGTAGCAGCAGGTGGCGGGGCTGCAGCCTGGGGAGGGGCTGGAGCATAAGCTGGACCAGGAGCCGGACCTGGCGCAGGAACATAAACTGGACCAGGGGCGGGACCTGGCGCAGGAGCAGGAGCAGGAGCAGCAGCAGGGGCGGGAGCTGGAGCTGGAGCCGGAGCAGGAGCGGCGGTAGGAACAGGAGGCGGGGCAGGGAGAGCTGCCTTCTCGGCTGCCTTCTCAGCCTTTCGCTCCTCAGCAAGATCTCCTGCTAGCGAACGTGCTGCAGCAACTTCCATTTCGCCTGATTGATTACATGTCAGTCTGGAACATAGGGTTGTGGGCATAGATGAGTTCTTACTCTTTTTGTAGTCCTCACTGAGCTTTAGAAGCTCATCAATGTTTGCTTGTCCAAGGGCTTTCTGGACAATAACAGTATTACCCTTGAGATATGTTAGCAAGGAGATCTCCAACTGTTAGCTAAAGTCGTTTTATTTGCTCACCTCCTCAAGGAATGGGTATCCAAGATCGATGAGAGCACGCTTTGATACCAACCGAGCGGGGATGCGGGTCTTTCCCTTCTTAGGATACTCGCTTTTGATGGTGGTGCCTCCGCTGCTGCTGGAAGACCGGCTACTGGTGGCGGATGAAGGGGAACTGCCGCGTCGGGTCCGGGTACGAGTCGACCTTGAAGAGGAGTCGAAGCTGTCTCGTCGCTTGCGATGCCGTACCATCTCTCGCTCATGAACTCTCTGATCCGGGTAAGGACGGAAATCCTCGTCTCCGAAGTAGTCGGGCTCGGCAATTTTGATGTCATTGTAGTATTGATCGTTGTACCTCCTGGGTGGGGGGAGAGCCTTGCTTCGAGTCTTGGGGAGGGGAATGTCTGTGTAGGGAGGAGCTCGGTAGTGTGCATCTCGGTCTCGATGGATGTCCTCCCTACGGGCCGGGGGCGGATATTCCTCTCGATCATAGAAGCGCAAAGGATGGCGGTCGAAAGTATCCAAAGATGATTGGCGGCGGAGGAACGCTGGGCGGCGAGAGGGGTAATCCCTCTCGGGCTCTCTCTCTCTCTCCATTACTGGTGGGCGGCGGTCATAGTCTGGGCGAGGCGGTGGCTGTTCGCGACGGGGGGGATATGGCGGCTCTTCGCCATAGTATCTGCGATCTCGTACAACATCGTCGTTGTACCCTCTGTGATAGCGACGGTCGTAGCGCTCGTCTGAGTGATCGCGGCCGTTCCCGCCGCGCATTTGATATCTGTCTCTGTCTTCGAAGCGGCCACGCTCTGCGCGGGCGGCCTCGTACTCCATCCGATCACGGTCCCAGCGGGTTGACATGATGACGTATGTGTGAAGATTCTGATTATGTAGTTGTTGAGTGTGCTCAAAGCCCCAATTCAGGTTGCTCTTGGCCTGAGACTAAGGGCAACGAAGGCAGGCAGGCAATGTTTTGGTGTGGATGAAACTAGGAGAAAGGGGTCCTAGCCGGGAGGAAAAGATGCTGAAAAGGAGGTTGTGGGAGAGCGAGCGGATGATGAAAAAAGGAGGAGCACGGGAGCGGCTCGTTGGTAGTCTTTGAGGTCAGGAACGTCCACTTGGGACGGAGCCGGCAGCGTGCTTGAGCCAGCTGATGGGCGATGACGTGTGATGCGAGGAGAAACCCCACTCCAGACTCAGGCGCAGCGCAAGTTCCAAGTTTCCTTGATGGTGCGGTGAAGTGGGAATAGCCGGGGCCGGGGTCGGCAGGCTAAGGTAGGGGGGGAGGCGAGGCACTATGATATGTGACAGTCGGTATGGTGTGCAGCCTATCCGTATGTAGGTACTGCGCGATGCGTCCGTGTGACAGCTGGCCAAGCAATGCGCAGCGTAGAGAAGAGCAGTGCAGTGGCGTTGGCGGTTGGTTGGAGGCACACCGACGATGGAGGTGAAGGCTGTATGTGTGTCTACTTGGTAGAGCAGCCGTCTTGATTCTGCTGCGGCGGTGGCGGGCGAGCTTGGAACGAAGAACACACAGAGGGGAGCAGGGCGACCCCGAGACAGCTCCTGCTATATAATAGCAATGGGAGGGTTAAGAAACAAGAGGAGTTTTGCTTTTGTCTGCGCCATGGCGATGGAGACGGCGGTTGGCTGGGCAGAAATGATGGACAAAGCCACCCAACGCCGCTAAAAATCTACCTCACAACGGTGCTGCTGAGCGTTGCAGCGCAGCTCCGGCAGTGCGATTTCACCGTATCGGCGCCCAACCTGTGGATCGTGGAATCAATTTCGAAGGCCGCCGACCGGGACAAGGGCGGTTGTGCGTAGTGCCGTCTCCATCGCTTCATTGGCAGATTCGAAAAAGTACATCCAGTTACATAACGCATGCAGCAGCATGCTAACATCATCTGGAAGGCAGAAGCAGTCTGGTGGTTCTCCAGATCCAGCCCCCTGCAGGCGGCTGTTTGGGCGAGGCTTTGAGGGGCATTCTGGGTTCGAGAATGCGCCTCAGAAGGCGCCGAACTGGGCTAACCAGGAGCTGTTTGTATTACCACTGTGCCGAGTCGGTTTCCGTGCCTCCTTCTCCTCTCTACACGCAGCCTGCTTGTTTTCAATTGACTCGCTCAGCTCGTCTCACACACTCCCGCAATGGCCGCAAGCCTCCATCGTCACTAGAGGACGCTAACTAGCAGCCACTCTCCAAGGCTGATCCCAGCTCTCAACCGCCCAGTACAGGATAACGCAAAGTTCTAGCCAGCCTGAGCCCTGTCTGGCCTTGCATTGGGATGCCATGTCTGGGCCCAAAGCACGTCTAAGTTGAGCGCTAACGAGGCCGGCACGACAGCAAGAATCCCACCTCCTTCTCGATACAATGGTGATGCATTGATTCCCTCGGGCATCTGCCCCGCCTCCTTCTCCCTCCTCATACCCACCAGCTTTGGCCATCTCTCCCTTTCTGACCAGACATCTAGCCTATCCGAGATCATCACTGGGTCTTGCTACCCTCCAGTCTTTGCCCCTGTCTGGGCCATTACGAGGTGTCACATTGAAGAGAGCCCTATTTGCCCCCATGGGTGCCTGGCTGCTATGTGGGAAAATCATTGGCTTCTTGATCAAATCCAGATCAGGAGTGGAGACCACCATTTTGCTGCTATGCTGTCGCCCCAACGTCACTGGGGACTGAATTTGCTCAGCGTCTCTCCCTCAATGCAATATGTGCCTCTGTTAAACCCGCCGCTGGCCATCCTCGCCGTGTTCACCGACCGGGCACACAGAATATCTGGCTGCACCTGTTTGGCTGGCGAACCCCGAGCTTTCCCCAATCCGCCACGGCGCCAAGCAAGTGTCTGGTGCCATGACGTGCGGAGCGCATAAAAGGGCTTTGCTTCTCTCTCTTCATTCGATGAGGAAAGTGCCGATACGGGGTAAGAGGAGCAAACTCTTCCAAGGTACCTGGGCTAGTCGTCCCAATACCTGGATGATTGGTCTGCGGCGCCGTTTTTCTTGGGGTCCTTTTTGGTCGCGGGGCATGAACTTGTGACAAGTCTCCTACTGACGCTGTGACACGCATGAAATTCTCGATCAACTCGGCTAGCATCAAGACCATCCATCTGCGGCCCGTTCTTTGGGCGGGCTATGACTTGTCCTCAGCTGCGAGTCGCCGGCCCCCACATGTGAATACTCGGCAAGTGTTGAAGCCGATCACAAGAGCATTTTTTTCTCTTTTGGACTTGGGCAGAAGCGAGCATGGTAGCTTTCTTTTCCCAAAAGCCAGGTGGCCATCGCCACCACCACTTACATCTGCGACTATCGGGATGTACAAGCTTTTCCCAAGGGCCGTGCCCAATGAGTCTAATCAAACTCTTGGAATTTTGACAAATATTTAGTGTTATCAACTGCCTAGCTTTTACAAGTCCTAGAATATGATATAGCTAATATGACAAATAATCACATGAGGTCTCGATGCCTCGGGAGTCGGATGGAGTATCTGTGGCGATGTGCTCGTCGACATGGCGCCTCTTAGACTCAGTAAGCTAAGACATTGTCTACCTCACGTCCCAGGATGCGGACTTTGTCGTCCCTCCTCATGATCTATTTGACTGACTGTCTCGGTGAGATACCTAGGAATATCAATTTGCTACCTAGGGTGATCGCTGCATGATAGGTATTAATAGCAACAGCACTGGATTCACACCTTGTTTCGAGAACCCACAACCTCAGAATACCTGACTTGTCACAACTTGTAGATGAAGGTCACCACACTACCGTTTGGTAAACTGGCTACTCGCATTGTCAGCTCGCCACATCGTGCATACGTGCCCGGATCTTCGTGGTTCGGCACTCATGCATCGTAGACATCTCAAATTTTCTTGAATGCAACGAGCACCGACTGTGTAGAGTCTCCACCCAGTGTCTCGCATCATCAACACCACGAGTCGAAACCTAAGAACTCAATGGAGGGAAGCGGGTTGGGCTTTGGATTGATGTCCAAGCCGGGTTGACAGAGGTAATGCGATCCTTCCTTTCCGCCTCTAGCGTCTGTTGTGTACCCCAGATCGATCGGAACCTAGGCTGCTCGGCTGCTCGGTTAGGAGACTAAGACAAACATGTGGCAAGATGGATATGTACGACGTAGAAAACGCCACTTTGAATCCTGTCACATCAACTCACTCATTGGGTTCCTCATCTAGGGCTTGGGCACTCATGAAATGGATGATATGCATGGCCAGTCGAAGGGTCCAGGCGCTTTGCTTGGCTCCTCAGCCTCTGTTCTCACTGCTCCGCTAGTTACCATCTGGCAACGAATAGTCGGTCGATATGACCCCCATCTCATAGATGTCGTGGGCAGTCTCATCGTCCAGATCCTCTTTTGGTGGATTCCCTGCCTCCTCTTCGCATCGTTGGACCATCTCTGGCCGTCCTTCTCAGCCCGTCACAAGATCCAGCCGGCTCCCAAACAGCCTACTATCGCCGACGTCCAGCACGCAGCGGTAGTGTCGCTGCGGAACCAGGCCATCGTTCTCGTCCTGCATGTTGTCTTAGCCGCTCTCGCCATGTCGCAGGGCTTGCCCCCAACCCTCCGGGTAACTGCGACACCGCCGCCCATCAGTCAGTTCCTTCGCGACTTGTTGCTCTGTGTCTTGGCCCGCGAGGTCCTCTTCTACTACTCCCACCGCCTCCTCCACGTCCGCTCCCTCTACGCTCGCATCCACAAGGTCCACCACAGGTTTACCGCTCCCGTCGCCTTCGCCTCGCAGTACGCGCACCCGGTCGAGCACATCGTGGCCAACATGCTGCCCATCGCCCTGCCGCCTCTCGTGCTGCGGACCCATGTCCTCACCATGTGGGCGTTCCTGGCCTGGCAGCTGCTGGAGACGGCGACGGTGCACAGCGGCTATGACTTCTTCCGCGGCGCGGCTCGCAAGCATGATCGCCACCATGAGCGGTTCAACGTTTACTTTGGCGGGATTGGGCTTCTGGATTTCTTACATGGCACCGGTGAGGATCTGTCATCGCCAGGTGAGGTGAAGAAGACCACGTAATGGGCTAGTATATATGAGATGAAATTTGTTTATTAGGGCTACATAGGTTGAAGAAAAGAGCAAAAAATAACGAGAGTTCATAGTTGATTCTTATCATGACGTTCCCTCGCTTGCGTAATATTCTGCTATCCTCCTCCCCTCCAAAAACACTCGTACGAACACTCAGTCGAAATTGCAAGACTGGAGCACAGGGGTATATATCTGTCCATCGAAACTCGGAAGGGCTCGCTTCTTTAGTTCGTCTTCTTGGCGACGGCAGGCTGAGTAGCCTTCTTGTTTGCCAAGAGCTGTCGTCCCTGGGCCGTGTATCGCAAATACCCGAAAGCGGCCAGGGCTCCGATAGACACGACGACGAAGTTTCCTAGAATATATGATTAGCCTCTGATACACAGAAAGCGAATGCCGGCGAGGCGGTCATCAAGGAGGCGTATCTTTCCCCACATACCTAGGATAAACTTGCCAACGCCACTGGTTACGTCGATAACTCCGCCAGTGATGTCGCCGAGCAAGGTGACCAGACCGGTGATGAAGCCAAGGACGGCGTCGACCGTGCTATGCACCACGGCGTAGGCGGCGCTCAGGACCGAAGCGATGAGCTCGTAGAAGCTCTTGAAGAGGTCGGAGATGGCAGTTGTGATCGCCATGTTGTATGAAATGTGATATCTCGAAATGCTGGAACAAGACTATTGGCAAGAGAGCGGAGGGACGTAGAAATTCGAGTTTATTCGTGAATTGTTTTTCCCTTTCCTTTTTGTTGATGGTCTTCGTGACTATTGAGGAGTGTTATGCTTGGTTTCTCTGGATCAAGTTGTTCGTGTCTCAAGAAAATGGAAGAAAGTGGACAAGTGTGCCACACCCCGTGCGGCCGCGTGATACCATTTAAAACATCGAATATATAACCCCCGTGTGCCATTTCTGACCAAAAGGTGGGATCAAGAAATCACTATTGCGCTGTGGCGTCGGCAGCATGATCGCGATTGTTCTCATGACGTCACGTCATCGATCAAAGCAACCCCCCTTTAAGCAGGCAGATAATGCTTTTAGGCTCCCTTCTCCCTCATCTCTTGTTATCGCCCTCCCATTATGAGCGTAGTATGACCCGTCTATTACCTCCAACCCACCAAGTCTTCGACGTCAGCTGCTGGGTAGAAAGCGCGCTCGCCACTTGACCTAAACCTGTCGCAACTTGCTGCTGCTAGCCTAAGGGAACCCCCATCTCACGTTGGGCTATCTTCAAGCTGACGCCAGGTACGGAGGATGAGTCGTATGAGTAGTATCTAAAGTGTTTGCTTTGCATTTATATGTATGTCTATGAGAAGGAGGAAGATCTACCCGATTTCGTCTATTCCAGGTCCTTGCTGAACTCTTCCGGCGCAACGTACGGCCCTGCTTCTCCCTGCGTGCCAGCTACGTACCTAGTCCCGTCAGTATCTGTTCGCCTACCACCAAAAAGACCCCAATAAACCACAAGGTCTTCAGGCTCACTGGTGCACTCACTTTGTGTGGCTGCCCCTGGCTGCAAGTTGTCCCTTGCTATTCGTGAACGTAACGGTAGTGTAGGCTAGCGTTTTCCCGACTGGCGCCTGTTAGTGACGGGTGACTGGCGAATTCAACACTCTGCGTATCTACTCACTCTTGTCGCAGGTAGCGGTGCCCTTGAGCAGGTCGCCGGCCCGTCCACCAGGGCTCAGATACGTCACTATGGAGATAAGCCTCCGGAATGACCCTACCAAGCTTGGGCCAAGATACATACCGTTGAGATCTGTAGAGACGCCAGTCGCGAAACGGCCGGTGGAGGCTACGGCTAATGAGCCTCCCAAATCCACCAGACTGGCCAGAGTGCCACCGTGAAGCGACTGAAGACGGTTCTGAAAGGAAGAGGTTAGAATACACACATCCAAGTGCGGAGGCGATTACCTTACTGTGTGATCTCTGTGAAGGTCTAACTCGAAATCTACTCTGCCATTGCTTGCACTCAACACTCGGAAGCGCTGTGATCCATTCAAGTCAGCGATTTTCGAGCTGTGCTACCAAAGGTTGGATAATAGGCCCTTCTCACATTCTCCCCTAAAAGCCTGTTCGATTTATTAGATTCCCTCAAACACAATTGGAGCGTGTACCGCGGACCTTGGTTATCAAAGCACCGCTGGTCGCTTGGAGTTCTCACGTACCTCGGCTCAAGGCCAGACTCTTTCATAAACGACCGGACAACCTACGGAAGATCATGTATCAGATTCGAGGCAGTGCACAAGCACAGCTAGTAGGTAGAGATGACTCACGGCCTTTGTGAAGCCCGTAGGCGATAGTCTTTTGGCCATGATTAGGTGCAGCTCGTCGGTCTGCGGGGGTTCTGAGGCTGTCGCTGAAGGGGACGGAGATCTGGGGAAGCTAGCGAGCCGCTGGGAAACAGCGTGTAGGGCACAGGCAATTGGCAACGCTTGGTCAGCTGCTAATTCCCGTCTCGCTACTTGTATTCAGCACACTTGCCATGGTAACGGTGGTGCCAAAAAGGTAGAGAGGTATTCAGCTGCTTCTGCTAAAGTGCGTATTCTACTTTATAATTAATCCTATACACCGAAAGAAGGAAAACTAGATACTAGGTATTCAAGAAAACTCACCAGCTTGGCGATTGTGATGCTATTTCCAGACTTACAGTGCCAGGGTCCTGTGGTTGAGCACTGACGCAATTATCCGACACTCTGCCGATCGAACTTTACGCGTGAACTTTGAAGTACCTGCCAAGGCAGATTCGCACTTATATCTTGGACCAGACCATTGCTGATTTTCAAACCTTCGACGTACTGCCACGTCGCTGGCCACACAAACCTCCAGCTTTTGAGCCTGCCTTTCCTTCGAGGAGGGAATCAGCACTGTCTCCCCGCCGCCGACAGAATCATGAGATAACACACCTCGCGATTCTTCTGACTGGCAGCCCATCATGTCAGTCAGCAATATGCCTGCACTCCAGCTTAGGGAGTACCTGGAGAGGCTCCCAGGCACGACCTTTCGGAAGCTCTACCAGCAACCCTCGACAGCATTCGCTATCTTCCGCCGTATGCTTCCGCATCTAGGTGAGTCTGCGCTCGTTGCGTCCTACCGATCTTGCTCGCCTGACCAGGGCCTTGACTGACGTTGTGGAACATGCAGCCAAAACCTTCGTTATGAGGATGCTCTTCATGCCCGCCCCGATGCTCCTCGCCGACCTTGACCTATGGGTCAAGCCTGACGCAAAAAAGTTGGAAACCAAACGCCTCGACCTGATACAACATGCTTTTCTACCTGCTTGAGACTAACGTAATGTTTGGCACAGGCAAAAGGACCAGGCACTCTTCATCCTCCAAGCCCTCCACATCGTCCACATCTCCCCGCCCTCGCGAGAAAAGCCCCAGGAAATGCAATTGACGACAAACTTCAAGAACTCGATGCGCCGTGCTCTCACTGGTGGAGGCACACACAACTCGTTCGGTGTTCCCTCGACCCTTGTCGTACCCCCCGAAATCGATATCCCTTTCCTCGATCGCTATGCCCGCAAGAAATGGGAGGACATCCTACACTTTGTTGTCTCTAGTGTTGGCTTTAAAAGTGCTGGCGAGGTCTCTGGTCCGAATAAGAGCGTGAAGGAGCTCCTCATTGCCGGCCGACTTGTCGAGCGGCGTCCTAACGGCAGCATCGGTATCACCCAGACAGGCTTTACCTTTCTTCTGCAGGAGGCCAATGCCCAGGTCTGGACGCTATTGCTTCTCTGGCTCGAGGCGATGGAAACGAATAAGATGGCAGGCCTTGAGGCTGTCGACATGCTTTCCTTCCTTTTTGTCTTGGCCAGTATGGAGCTTGGCCGGGCTTACGACACCAACGCCCTAACGGAGCAGCGTAGGAACATGCTACCTTCTCTCGTCGACTTTGGTCTCATCCATGTTCCTCATCATAAACGATCCATGTTCTTTCCCACACGTCTGGCCACCACGCTTACTAGCAGCGGCAACAGCCTCCGTTCGATTAGCGAGGGCGTGGCTGCAGCGACCTCTGCTGCTTTCAATGGCACATCGAGTTCCGGCGGACCTCCAGGCCACGGCCCTCTCAAGAGTTCCACTGAGCTCAAGGGGTCTGTCGTTGTCGAGACAAACTACCGCCTGTACGCATACACGCAATCCACCCTTCAGATTGCTGTCCTCGCGCTCTTCTCGAAGCTCAACATGCGCTTCCCAGACATGGTCGCCGGTCGTCTCACACGTGCCTCCATCCGGCAAGCCATTCAATTTGGCATCACTGCGGATCAAATCATCTCCTACCTCGCTGCCCATGCGCATGAGCAGATGCACCGTACTGCAGCCCTGACCAACAAGCCCATTCTCCCCCCAACCGTCGTCGACCAGATTCGGCTGTGGCAGCTTGAGAACGAACGGATGAAGACTACTGGCGGTTTCCTCTTTAAGGATTTTGAGGACCAAAAGGAGTACCTCGCCGTGGCGCAATTTGCAGAGGAGGTAGGCGTCCTAGTCTGGCGCAACGACAAGACGGGCATGTTCTTTGCCAGCAGGCACGAGCAGATCCGAGACCTTTTGCGAAACCGCAAGAAGGCGGAATAGCCCATTTATTTCTTTAGTGTGTCACTATCGGGGGAATCTCCTGGCCCTTTTATGGATAGATTTGGAGTTGGGGAAACTGCACGCGCTTGTCATAGTATGTATGTGTTTATCATCAAAAGGGATGCGGGTTCCCACAGATCAGGCAGCCAGGCGGGAGTTTTTATTTAATCAGGCGAGAGATCGCCATACATGGGATGTGAACCATAAAGTAGAAATACAGTTTTGGTATTACAATAATGCTGTGATCAGTTGCAGCCTGACTTTCTAGATATCAGTCTAGAGTAACGACGAGGCCAAGTGGCCAAGAATATCCCATGACAACCACTCACCACCATCTCGGACATGGCTTTCACTGTGGCCCTTGTTGTCTCTGCGTTGAACCCAAAGAGACTAACGGAGCTTCATAAAGCAGACGTCTTCTTCGCGGAAGATAAGCCGAGATACACTCTCAAAGACCGGTCCTAGCGTAAGGTGTCACAGGGATGTCACGATCTAGGTACCTGGAGATAGACCAGAGCACAAGTCTACCCGGAAGGATGCAACCTGGGCATGGAACTGAACCCAGCGCCCTGAAACCGCCCGAAAGTTCGCGATGCCTTGCTGAGTTTGAGGAGCGGTTCGTCCTAGATATCCTCACAAGCTATACTTTTAAGGGGCGCATTTGCTTTGGAGATGTCGATGTCTGTGAGCATGCCATCCTGTCCCCTTACCTCTGCTAACTAAGACCACGATCGGCGTCGAAGCAAGGTGCCAAGAAGGAACGCACAGAGATCTACGCCGCAGCTGCCGGCACACTCGGCCCCACCAACCGGCCGGGGACACTGCATCAACTGGGAAACTGTCAACGATGGACGGGGCCTATCATTATGAACGATGGTAAATTTAACCTTAATATGTCGAATTCCCGATCTTGCCTTATCCCCCACCCTTGAGCTAGGCAGTAGGCCCAGAAGTAAGCTCACCGGAGAAAAGCATCTGTGTACCAGGGAATCACTCGATGTTCTCAGAATAGGACTACACTTTGAATAAAAGCTAACCTCATTAACATTAAAGAAATGGCTAACACAAAATAGTCTTGCGTGGTTCTGCCATGCTTCACCCTTGCTTCCTCCATATTAAGTGGCAAGACCTCTCACGTCAGCATCCTCTATTCTGTTCGATCAATAAACCCCAAACTCCTTGATTTTCAAGACACACGCCCTTTTTGACCAAAGACGAAAAAGAAGAGGCAATTATTACACTCCAAAATACCGAGAGAAAAAACCAAACTTTTGTGCCCTTTTCCAAACCACACATATTCGTTCAGCCCTCCCTCAATATCTCTGTTCTAGCACCTAGACCAGACTTCTCTTGCCGAGGGATACGGCCGAGGCGAGAGTTGGCAGCATCCCGTAGAGCTGAGAGGCTTCGTCGGCCACTATTCAATTCCCCCGTATGACGATGGCCAAACAGCTTCTCAATAATCCGTGACCCATCCTTTTTGTACCCGGGGGGCAGGAGATCCCGGCGTTTGTTTCGCCGGGCATAGTCGTTCTGCCAGTGGTGGAGAGATTCTTTAGCTTCTTGAGTCGCACACTGTGACTCAAGTTCTTGGAAGATGCGTTGAATTCGAACTTCATCCGATTTCACGTCCAACCTCGAGCTGAGGGCCGAGGCTAGAGAAGGCAGCGCCGATGTGGTTGTAGAATGGGGAATGCGATTGGGACGATTTGATGCACAGGATTTTACCCCAAACTGGTTAGAAATGGATAAAGAATTATGCGTTCCTTGTTTATAGGTAGCGGCAAGTGAATGAAGGGAACCAGCGTCTAAGTTTTCTGAAGAAAGCTTGTCATGAAGGGATACAAAGCGTCCGGTCCAAAACTGGGAGGGTTTGGCGCCGTTGATTTGTGAGCATCCAGGCTCCGCCGAGGACCGGCTGGAGTCGCAAGGAGAAGGTGTCGAAGTGATTGGGCTTTGAGTAGTGGGAAGGTGCAAATTTGAACAACTGGAGGGGGTATCAAAACTGTCCGAGGAGCCTGAGATGGATGATTCCGGGGGGATTGATGGTGTCTCTTTGGGCTGAGTAGAAGGGCGAGTGATGCTCGATTTGAGCTCCTGCAGAACAGTCATTGTTCGCGATCTAGGGGTGCTCACACCTGACAGTGTTGTTGTGGATTGTTTGGCACTATTGTCTCCAGTAGGAGGTACATTTTCATCCTGAATTGAAGTGTCAGGATTGAAAAGAACCGAAGTAGTCGAACTTTTTGGAAGTCGGGTCGTCACATGGGCAGGCCTGGGACCCAACCCAATGAATGAGGCTTCGCGAAGTTTGTTTATCGAGACTTTCTTGACCGGTGCATAAATTCCAATCGTTGCAGTCACTTTTGACTGAGCGACAGTGGGCTTGCTTGTCAAGGATTGGGTTGAGAGGCTGGTGGGTATCTTTCGGCTGGGTTTGGTGGGAACGGGCAAGTTGCTGGTAAGAGGAGGTACTGGCCGAGGCGCAGCGCAGTCTTGGATCTCGCTGACAATGGTCAAGGTCTCGCTTCTTGAGAAGTCTTCACCTCTTGAAGTTCTCACGGGGCCGATAGGTGCAGAGATTGTAGGTCGGGGTGGTTTCAAGCGAAGTCCCAAACGCGTCGAGGCTCGCGACCAAGATGCAGTGGCTGGGGATGGCTTCTTCATCCGGGTACTCTGTTGCTGCTCCATGATTTTCAGGAAGAGGAATGCCCGGGGTCTCGAGAGATGTTTTGCATGTGTTTGTTTGTTTGTCTTTCGGTGAGGTTCGGAGGAGTGTTATCGAATTGTGGTGTAGAAACACGTATTAGGAAACTTCGAGAGACAGATGCTGGAAGTAAAATATAAGAGGTCAGAAAACAGGCAGTGGACTTGGAGCTTCTGTCGTATAGCACAATTGAGGCCCGAACCGCTGTGCAAAGACCTAAAAATGGTCGAAGCACGAGATGTGACGACACGATTAGGGAGACAATGAAAGGACGGAAGCCCTCTGCAAAGAAGAGGTCGGAGAAGCTTGCGCATTAGACAATTGAAGAATGTAGTGGAATCTCCGCCATTCGCGTTGTGTCCGAACAAAGCAATAGGCAGCTAGGGCTCTGAGTTTGCTCGCTTTGAGCTGGTGTTGGGGCGGGAGCAGGAGCTTTGTTTACTTTTGAAGCTCTTTCGCGACGGGAACCTGCGCAGGCAGACAAAAAGGTGCACAGCCGGCAGATAGATTGATAAACGGCGGGCGGTGACGGACACAATCGCGACTGCCTCTGGTACTTTCTGCTTTGTGATTGGGCTAGGAAGCGAACTGGAAGACGGCAATGACTCTTTCCTCGACACTGGCTGATATCAATGGCTGCACGGGAGAAAACGACCGTCAGCGGCTGCTAACGAGCTGTAGCGTCGGCTCGCATCTGCAACTTCGCATGGACATCACCGTTCAAGGGCGTGAGAGAGCTGTAGACTTATTCATTCCGTCATTTATTCATTAGCAGACGCAAAAATGTATGTCTATAAAAGTCGGGCCAAATTTGTTGAACCTGTTGGTCCAGTCGGCATTTCGAGATGGTCTGAAATGCGATCTATCCAGAACAATCCTCAATGGGTAAGCACCCTCCTCTATCTCTAGCAGAAACGGTATGCAAAAAGCAATAGGGATCCTAGCCTCCTCTTCCTCTGGCCTGCCTCGCTTGTTTTTCGTCTACTCTTCCCAGCCGTTGATCTTGAACTTGAACGTTAGATCTCCCTCTCCTCTCGGAATTTCATGTCCCGTGGCATCGTACAGCGCCCTCTCGATGTACGTCACGTTGCCGTCGTGGTCTACCAGAACGATCGTCTGCCGTTGTGTTCCATACATTCCCATGTCGAACCCCTGGTGGAATGCCGCATCCCCATTGATAGCGATATCCTTCTGGAGTTCTTCCTCAGTTGGCCACCCTTGCCGACCCTTGGCTTGCGCCTCCTTCGTTTCGACACGATGCCTCTCATCTCCAATCGCTGGGATAAAGATACTGTTCTTCAACTCATCGATATTCTCCTCCAGCGTGCGATCGCAATGACCATGGAGTGTGTCGGTGTCGAGATGCTTAAACAACTCGTCTACCAATTCCTGCTCACTGGCCTCCTCGTTGGCTGCGTGCGCCTGGATGACCTTCTCAAATCCCTTCACCCCGGTCCCGACTTTTGGCCAAGTCTCTGACCGATCAAATACTGTATTCGTCAGCCCCCACCCTTTGATGTGGTCTGGCTTGACGAGTGGCACATCTTTGATGTCCGCCGCTCGGTTGCTGATGACTGCAAATCCCTCGCTCTTCTTCTTCAGCTTCGCGCACACCATCGAGAAGCCTCCCACGCCCTTGACACCCCCGTCACTGACGAAGTCCTCGACGCTCTTCACCATACTCAGCTCGGGTGGCTCGCCCAGCCAAGCTGTCGGCATCGCACCTCTGCTTTTCCTCCCCTCAATAGGGTGTTCCGCATCATTGAACGGCTCGCGGTAGTTTGTCAGTACCGCCAGCAGACCCGATTTGGTGATGCCCATCCACGTGCCCATCTCCGGGCGATGGAGGTCTCGCGACGACAAAACCTCCTCCCCAGTCACTGGATGCTTGTACCAGTGGGGCCTGGATGTTGGGCGCAGAATAAATTCATCGCGGTTGTCGATGACTATGACTGGATATTTGGGGTGCGCCGTAGTAACAAAGACGATGCACATTTTGTTTTTGTTCGCGTTTGCTCTCTCTCCCTTTTGCTGTGAAAAGGGCTGGTCAGGTAGGTAGTTGGTTCTTGTGAAATAGACTGAGGATTGTGTTTAGGTTGTAATGAGTTGATAGACACTTTGGAGCCGTTTCTCCCCAGACGGAAAGGTTATTCAGCGGACACCGACCGCTATTTATCCCCTTTTTTCTAGCCAGATGACAACATGCATAGAGAAAAACCGGGTTAGCCCAAGACTGCGGTTGCGCACGCATTCCCTGATTCTACCCAACGGATGTCTTTTCCCTTGTACTGCCTCGCATGTACCTGTCTGTACGGCCAATCGTAGGCTTTGCCCGAATCATACCACCAAAAAACCAACATGTGAGCAGCACCCGGCCATGGACTTTTTCGGGACCTTCAGCGGAGAAGAGCGGATTCGCACCGGTGCAATCCGCGTTCTGTGACTAAGCGCCCAGAACACATGTCAACCAAGGCAAGCCCAAAGCCAAATTATTAGACCCATGGGCCGAGCATATGCATGCATGCAGCAGCCTAGCTCCACTGGTTGGGGACTGTGAAAATTCATCTGGTCACGGGTACAAGGCGCAATAAAGCAACAGTGCCTGGGGGAAGGGTGCCTGGTAAAGCACATTCCATAGAGGAACCCCATCAGATGAGGATCTGGCAACGTCGACATAAGCTGAAGTAAAGGAAAGCGCAGTGTTGTCGGCGATTACTCATGGCGGTGAGTAGCTTATAAGATCGAAGAAAATGGCGGATGAATAACAGATAGGAAGTTATTAGGGATGAGAAGGGCCCTCAACACTAGACAATTGTAGAGGCAAATGAGATGCATCCCTAATATTATTGTCTAGAGAGCTATCGTGCGGTCTTATCAATACTCAAAGATATACTCTGTATCTATAAAGGCCTGTTGGAGAGATTGAACAAATGCTATCGCGCAAAATAGACGCATGAAAAAGGCAATATGGAATCAACTGCGGCCACGAATCTCAAGCTAGTTGCTAGGCAACATTCCAAACACTGCTGAACCCGATCGGTATCATGAATCATAAAATAACAACGTTTTTTAACTTTTTTTGGAATTAGAAAGAAGACGGTTCCCGTCCAAAAGCCTTTCTTTAAAAGACTTTGGCCATTGGAAGTGCTGGCCTATTTCCATACACTTGAACTCTCAGTACCCTTGGATTTACCGTTCTGATACGTTTCACTGAGTCCATTGTACAGCTTCTTCACTCTTTCGAATTCTGACAGCAGGGCAGCCTTGGCTTCCGCGTCTGTGACAGTGTCGATGAGTTCAGCGACAGACCTCGCCCTGAAGAATTTGTTGTCGCGATTGTAGAGCGGACGCGCCCGGACCTGCTCGTCCGTCTCGCTGCCCTGGACACGGAAGACCTCCTGCAGGATGTCGATGTCGTAGGGGATCGCGAACAGGTCCCGGCTGTCCTCGTAGGTGAAGAGGTAGTAGAACTCCCGGAAGCCGGACCACGTGATGCCGCTCAGGCACAGGCTGCAGGGCTCGTGCGTGGCGAAGAAGATGCAGTCGTCCTTGGGGCTGGGGCGACTGGCCGGGTCGGGGTAGTCCACGGTGTAGAACTGCTGGATGCAGTTGATCTCGCCGTGGAGCAGGGGCGAGGCGCGCTCGTTGTTGGTGGCGACAGAGAGTGGCTTGAGGGTGCGGCGGTCGAGGATGGCGGCGCCGAAGAGCTTGCAGCCGTTGGTGACGGCCTGGGCTGTCAGGGGCACGATGGAGGTTTCTACGGTTTGGAGGAGTGCCCGGAGGAGCTCTTCGTTCTTGACGGGGGCAGACATGGTCGTTAGTTTTACTCCTTGTTAGATCTTTGATGTATCGGGGCGAGTTACAGGTCTCAACACCAGAGTTTTGTGGGAAAATCGGGCACAGCATTCAAGGGACGAGGGGAAGGAGATGGCAGATAAGACACGGTCACACCAGATCGGGGCCGGCCGCTGGCGTCGTCCGAGACGGTCACCTCCGGGAACACAAAACTTTGTTCTCCATCGCTAGACTATGTCTGCAGCAATTGAGGATAGTATGGAAACCACCCGTATTTGAAACCAGGCTTGGATGCCAGGACCACCCTTTGCGCTATCACGGTTGAGGATGATGAAGGGACATCGTTGATCTTTTAGTTGTAGAGCAGAAAGCAATTGAATGAATGAATGACTAAGCATACCCACAAAAGCTTTCTCGTTCTCAACATGAATTAAGTGAACCTTTTCAACATCCATTTCCATCTCTCAAAATGCGAGAATGAGAAGAGGAAAAGGGTGAGGGAAAGATGCACTACATTCGATGCCTGAGCTCGCCCAAGCTCTCGCCGAGCGGAAAAAATACGCAACTCGAGGTCGTCTTCACCATCACGACCGACCTGGGCGACTCTTTTCTCTCGCCAAAGGAACCTATCGAGTTGGAAGCCATCCTCCATGTCACGGCTGGCAAGAAGGACAGCAAAACGCTGCCCCTGTCTAAAAAGGGGCAGCTCGTCTGGAAATACGGCCAGAGGATAGCGAAACCAGTCTTCCTGATTCCCACCATCGTCACCCAGATCATCGCGGCGGGCCTCGGGGTGCAAGTTCAAATTAGCGCAAGCCGAGCGATTTCGGCCGATAGGGCGTCTTTGATTCTCTCTGAAGAGGCAAGCGGATCTCGGGAGGCTGGTATGGGATTCATTATGCCGATTTGGCTGACCCTCAGCCCGAAGTCCAAGGATGGCCAGCGGCATTCGACCCGCAAGTTGGAGCTGGGCACAGCGAGCAGCACCTCGATGATGATTGAGATGGAGGAGGAGCTTGGCGAGAGCATTGCCCGGCATATCTGGGACGCAGGCGTGGTGGCCCTGTGCGCTCTTTCCAGCACCGTCTTTTCGCCCGACTCAGCGACCAGCCAGGCACCTTGTGTGAGGGCCGTTGGCAAACTCTTGACCAAGGCAGGTCCATTAAACGTTATAGAGCTGGGATGCGGCGTGGGTGTATTGGGTGTTGGGTTGGGCGCCCTTTGCTCCAAGGTCCGCTCAGAGGCGAGCAAGGACAGCTTTGTCCTGATGACGGATTTGGAGGAAGCTGAAACACAGGCAAAGCTCAACATGGAGCATCTACCCAGTGGCCAAACCGCCGCGCTTGCATATGAGAATCTCGACTGGGAGGAAGGGAGACGGGGTAGTTTTGGAACACAAACGAAGGCTCGGCGGTGGGACCTTGTCATGCTCAGCGACTGCACGTACAACGTCGACATGCTTCCGGCGCTGGTAGAGACTCTATCGGCGCTGCATGCTTCAAATGAGTCACATTCTGGAGACAGCGCGGAGGAATGGACAAGCCGGGTGTTCTTGGCTACAAAACCTCGTCACCCGTCTGAGAGAGCGTTATTTGACTTGATGGCCCAGCATGGTTGGCAGAAAGCAGCCGAACAAGTCATGCCTCTGCCCGTTCTTGGGTCAGATCCAGAATCGGTTGAGTTGTATTTATTTGAGAGAAGAGCAGTTCGTAAAAAAGAATTGCAATAATCTGCCAAAGGAATATAAATCTACCGAAAATACGTACATTCCTTACTTTCGGCGACTATGCTTAATGAGACCACGCCGGAATCAACTGCCGTAGTCGTACGTACATCTTCGTGGAAATGTTGCATGGAAGTAATTGTGAGAGAAGGAGAAGAAACAGGGGAAAAGGCCCGGAATATCGATATCTTGGCTTGAGCGATACGTCGAGTATGTCACAGGCCGCACTCGCTGGCTAGAGACTGGGCTTGCCCTTCCAGCACAGCTCTCCAAGCTTGACTCCTTCATATAGGTATTTATCGCATGTAAAATCCAACTATGAGGTAGAAACCGAATTCTTAAAGCCTCTATCAAAGTATTGCCACCGTGGTAGATCGTTGTCTTGCTAATAGCTCCGCATTGCTTTGAGGTGCAGGCCACAGGCCATCATGAGGCTTGAACGAGACAACAACTGACTGAAGAACTCACTTTGACGAGGGCAGAGACTTTGGAATCAATGTTTGCCTCAGAGATAACTTAGAAAGCCGCAAAGGATCCAGTGTCTATTGTATGAGGACTTGAGCTAGCAGGATTCTTCATGGCAACAAGATCATCGCAAACTCACTGCGATGCCCTTGGTGATATTATGCCTTGACTTGGAGTCAGTGCCGAAACGTTTACAGATGAGGGATCCTATATATTACCTAATTCAAATAGAAAATCGGACATGGCGTCCACTCATCCTGCTTATCACCAGCTGCTTACTTGACGAGTGGCCGTACAGTGGCCGGATTTTCTCTACGGGTGTGTTTGAGCATAGTCTCTACGTTTATGGCGTCGCGCATGAATGCGTAAAAGGGACTGAAGCACCAAGTTTTGATAATGCTTGCGGAGTATGAGCGTCACTGCGAACTGAAAAGTCGATGTACTCTTTTTTGGAATTCATCCTCGGCCAGGATATTCTATACAGTAGTGCCAGGGGAAGCCCCCAAAGTTAGGCTTAAAATTTACAAAACCTTTCGGGTCTCTGCACTGAGTTGTAAACTACAATAATGGTTTGTCCCCTTACACAAGCCGACACAGGGCATGAAGATGTATGTTAGAAGTTGCTAGTTCACGCCCACCCAGGCAATCGGTGAGCCCAAGAAAGTCCAGGTCTTGGTCACCGATGGGCAAAATCGATCCTACGGCCAGCTACCCAAAAGTTCCGAATTCTGCCATGATACGGCGGCGTGCTTGCTGCTCGTCAATCCAGTCAGGGATATTGATTCTATCACATCTACCCAACATGTATGCACACTAGCACGTCCGGTGGCTTGCATGACAATGGCGGCTCCAGCCAGTGAGTGGCATTTGCCAAGGATCTAGACACAATTCATTGGTGCATCCATTGAGGAATCAATCTCCCCGTGCTTCGTTCTAGTCTCGATCAACATGGCTACATCATAGCTCATCCGTATGGGATCAGGTCAGCTCACAGCTGTCCATAAGATCCTGCATATCAGCCCTCGCACCAGCTACCAGAGCGGGAAAGACATCTGGGGCTCGAACAGGTAACCTACCAACGCGAGGCTCCTTCTCCCGGCACATGCAGGAAAGGGTAGGTTGGGTGCAACAGGGAAGGGTGCAAGGAGGGTGGGGAGTCACCCTGACAGGCGGCATGGAGCGCAGTTAGCGAAGCGAGACTCGTACCAGACTGTTGGGATATTTGGACAACTGTCAGCCGGTCTGTGGGATGCTGCGCTGCTGCGACGCAACGTTTCTGGCGCCTTGCATTGCTTTGGACCTTGGCATGCGAGTGGCATGGCTCAGCTCAGTGGACGGTAAACAGCCATGCGAAAGAAGATGACGAGGAGATGATTGACGTTGGCATGATGCCATCTTGTACAGTACATCAATAATGACACACACATGTACCGAGCTTGTGGATGCATTTCAATGCCGGACAAGACATACAGACATGAAGGGTGGATTCTCTGGAAGGAACAATGGCAGGAGCTGGGCGGGTGCGTCACTGGCGGTTTAGTGATTGCGGTGAGGCCCAGCTGAATTGAAGGAAGGGCTATCTCGTCATGCTGGAGTCCGAAGATTGGCGTCGACGATGCTGTAAACATGCAGGCATGGGTGGTTGCATGCCTGCAGAATGCCTAGATGAGCAGCTGCTGGCAATCCGATGCCAGTCCATATTGCAACCCATCGCAGCTATCACGACCGAATTGCGAATTATTAATTACCTGTACGAGGCGGTACCTCTGGCCAGCATGCTGTCAGCGGCTTTCCAGCGGTAAATTTGTACCAGTCAAGTATAGCGCTGTGGGATGGACCCGGAATGTCATCCGCCAACCGTTTTTCGGGGGATATACAGGGGGTGTGGGCCGCTAGCCGCATAATCTACCTTAGCAGGCCCTCCGTCCATCCCTCCTTCGCTCCTCCCCTCCCTTCCATCCCATCCCCCATCCCGGCCAGTGTTCGCTAAGCTTAGTTGGAACCTGGGGGCCGGCCGTCTCGTCGCTTTTCCCATTTCTGTTTCGCATTCCGGCATTCCGCAAGCCTGGTCTGGCTGGGAAGAAAATCCGCCAGTCAAATTGTCCAGATACGGGCCTTTCTAACCCCCGTTACAGGAAGAAACAACGGGCGTTCCCGAAACCTGTCATCGGAACAGAGTAACACGCACTAATGGCTTGGGGCTCCGGGCGGGCAGATTTCAGTCCCAAGAGCGCCCCGTCTCCTGAGCCTCCACAGCTGCGCGACAACAGCTAAGCACTACGGCAGCTTTAAGTTTCGCATTTTGAGCGTGTTTACTTGCTTTTGTGCAGCGTTGTATCGTGCCATTTATTCCCCCCTATTGTCTCCTCTTTTCTTTCTTCCCTGATCCAACCTACGCCCAATCAGCTGCAGATCCGTTGTCCCGCGTTCGGCTTCCGCACATTGATCAACGTTTTCTTACCTAGACTGATACCCAGGATTTCCTGGTCTCCAATTCCTCGGGGCCATGAATGAGAAATTAAGTAATTAATCGTCAGCTTCCGTGCCCACGGTCACCCCTCAGTCCACGGAGGAGCGCCAGGCTTGGCTCGGGGAAATACCTGGCTGTCGTACCAACTCTCTGGGATGGTATGGTGCTGTTGGTGGTGGTGGGCCGTGGTTCGGGCAGCCGCAGCTTGGCAAGCAAGGATACACCGGCATCAATCAGGAGACCAGGGAGGTAGCTTGTGTCAAAAACCCCCGGAGACGGCGCTCGTCAGCGAACCAAATGCTCGGGTCCCCCAAGGAATCATGTGGGCTCTCAGCAACCTTCTGGCTCTGTAGGTGCCACGATGTTGAGCACCATTGTGCGCCCCATGAGTTAGCGCACGGCCTGGGACTTCGTGTTGTGTTGACTTTGGTCAGAAGATTAAAATCAGTCGCAGCAAATGCCTCAGCATCTAGTCCAGTTCGATACCAACAGCCCGGTTCTTTCGCCGGGCCTTTGACTCCCTCCGTCAGGTCCCACGACACTAAAGTAGGCAGGCTCTACAAGAAAACCAGGTGTTGGTGGAATCCTGCCTACTACTATTTCAGCTAGGCAGCTCGGCCACCGAAAGAGCACGTTCTGAGTGTCACATGCTTGGGGTGTATCTCTGACTGACCAACAGTTGGGGGCTGTCCTTTCTATCAATAGGAAAACACTAACACAGCTGCCTCAATGCAAGTGCACACGACACTACCCTCCCTGCCTTCGGAGGGGGGGCTAGAGTCCCGCGCCGTCGGCTCTCAAATGCTTATCACCGTGCAAGCCGCTGGGGAAAGCACAGAATCATCCATACATTGGAAATCGGCCAGGGCCACGTTGGCATCTGGGCAATTAAAAGATCCACCGAGGGAGGGGTATATCGCTGCAGCTTTCTAATTAATACGACGACGGGCCTCTCAGGACAAACACGACCCTAGGCTGAGGACAGCAGGACTTCGTAGCCTACCCATGGAATCTGCAATCTGCAAGGACAACGGTGTCCGCGCTTGTATCCCTTGCCGGTGAGATGGTGCCCACTTCACGCAAGCGGTGCTACCATCCAATGCCTGCTGTAGTCAGCCTCTCTCCGCCAGCTCTTGGGACACTTTTACCGACAGACTGGCTCCAGGTATATCATCCGAGATTGACAGTCAGCAAGCCGCCAGCCCTGGTCATGTATTGTCCCCATAGACCGTTGTAACGGGCAGAAGCCTTGAAGAGCAACCCGAGAAAAGGGAGTTATGGGCCAACACGTTGAAACGCAATGTATTTACATTGGCTTTTTATCAGTTATGATCTGTCACAAGAAAGATTTAGTAACCTCGTATGCCCAAATAGGAGCATTAGGTATTCGCATTGTTTCTGAAAAACCTCGCCCATTGTTGCTCGAGACATTGGAACGACACTTGCCTGCTAACTAAATGACAACCACTACATCCAGCACTACGTCCACCATCTTACAATTGACCTGCACATTGCTCAAAAGGTTTGAAATCTGCTATAATACACACGGTGCTATTCATCAAGCTGGCCATGCAAGGGTGCCTCCTCATCGCATGAACACCATCGCGATATAGGGTAGATTTGTGTCGTGGAAACGAACCGTCGCTTGCATTATAACGGCGGCCTAGCTAGTCAGTAACAATTGGCAAGGATCTGGGTCCAAGGCGTCTGACCATCCTCTAATTGTTAGTCCGCCCCGTGCTCTGGTTTGTCCTTGATCAATAAGGCCGCATCGCATGGTTGTACGATGCAGCACAAGCAAGCTTCTCCAATTTTGTTGGTCAGAAGTTCATAACCGAGCCAGCTGTGGAGCGAGGCACAGCGTCCTCACAACGGCCTTTCAGCGCCTTGAGCGCCTACCTCAGTGCGCCCATAGCAGTGTGGCTTGAACCCGCTGCTGGGATCAGGGTATTATGTCGCCGGCGTAGTGGGCTGGTCCCGTTTAATTGACCTCTTCAAGCAGACGAGGGAAACGTGACCAGGGTATGAGGATCATTCAGGCAGCTACCTACCCAGCGAATGAATGGATAGGTATTTTGGAAGGAGCCCCAGGATTGGGAAAGGCCCCCTAACAGACGATTCCACAAGCCCGGAGTGTTGCAACAACTGGCTGGGTGTGCCGCCCGGAACTGGTCATATTAAGGTAGATAAGAGAGGTATTATACAAGTGTGCCAACCTGAGCTACTTTGCTAAGCAGAGCTCGGCTCCTGCATGTGCGTACATACACACCTCTCACATGCCTGCATCTGGAGCTGAAATCTCCTGCGCCGCCCGGGTGGGTTGGTCTTCAGAGAACACAATAAAGAAAGGGCTCTCACTGGGAATTTGCTCTTACTCAACTCGTCCATCCGGGGCGTGTGACGTCAACCGGCCAAGCACACGGTAGGTAGTAGTAGCCCATCCTCCACCCCATTTCCGTGTCTACGGCCAGCCGGGAGCGTTTCACTCGGTCCAGCGACAGGGAAGAGAATGGCCCAGGAGGACGTCGTGCGTCGAGGCTTGCAGCGATTACTTTCCCATTTCTTTCCTGGATCGACCACCTGCAGGCCAGGAATGTACCTAAAACCTGCATCACAAGTAGCTGGCTGGTCTTGGCCCTGCCATTTGCGCACGGCCATTTGTGATCAATCTTTGCATCAGTCCCAGGTGAACGCCAAAACCTTACGGCACCTCGCAAGCGTACACACTGATGTGCTTCCAGGCCAAGCCTTGCTCCATGCACCTCTCACCCTCCCACCCACCTCCTTTGGTCGGCAGGTGTAGACCGGCCCGTCTCTCTGGGCGTATAAAAGAAATGGACGACCTCTGCCGTTCCAGCGAGTCTGCCTGTTCACGAGAGTCTTCACCAGAGACCAACGTCCTGGCCCCTCACCCCCACTGCTCCAAGGAATCAGCCAAGGACCTACTACCAGAGCAGTTAGTCAAGGAGAAGCCCTGCAAGTCAGCGCTCAAGTGGCCCGTTGTCCCGTCCTAACTGCCTTGCCAGTCCACCGCCATCGCCCACCGTTTGCCGTCACAAATACATACCAGACCCCTACCAGGCGACCGAGGTACCCGAGGCTCGAACCAGCCTGGTGCTTGTTGATAGTGGCTCTCTCTGTCACTGCTGGGAATTCCAGAACTAAGAGCATACCTAGGGGAAACAGAATTAAATTGGAAGCTCTCGTCTCAGGCGAGGAAAGAGCCACTCTGTCGGTCACCAAACCCTCCGAGGCAACTACCCCTACCCTTCCTCCACGGGCAGGTGCGCCCGGCTCCATTTAGCCTTCGCAGGTCCGCAGACTCCCAATGTCTATCTATTACTACTTCGATTCACTAACATGCCCCTAGGAAACCGTTCTTCTTTTTTTCTCCAATTCCCGCTGCTCTGCTCTAAAGCGACTTGGCTTGCCCTATGCTCCGCAAGGATCGGGCCGAAGCAAAATTCATCCTTCCTAAAAGCAAAGAGGATGCCCCAATATTGAGCCGCTTGTAGTCGATGATGAACTCACCGCCTGGCCTAATTTGCTTTTCACCAACGACGACTTGCCTAACTAAGGTCTGGGACACAGTTCCCTTGGCCCCTTGCTGCCCAGCTCTTCCCCCACGGCGCCGTACACTCACGGGAGAGCCTTCATGTTGTTAGGACCACCCGACGACATCAAATCCTCGCCAACGAAGACCATGGACGACAACCACGGGGAAGGCCCCTCTAGTCAAGCTCGACCCCCCTCTCCTTCTCCCACGGGTTCTGTAATCGACGTGGGCACCTTATCAGATGCGGCCAGGATCCAAAATCTGGAGAATGGTGACTACCCCAATGATGACGACGACACTCGAAGCTTATCCGAAAGCATTCGTGGCCATATTATCCGCGGCGGCTTGAGATATCATGCCTATCACGCGGGAAAATACGCCTTTCCCAATGACGAGACCGAACAGTATCGCGATGACTTGAAGCACACGCTGACACTCCACTTATGTGACGAGCGGGCTTTTTTTGCGCCCGTGGAAGACGTATTGGCAAACGGTGCTGAAGTCTTGGATCTCGGTAAGTTTCGAGATACCCTCGAAACCCAGCTGCGACATTAATAGCTCTTGGTGCTGGGGACTTACGTTTGTGTCATACAGGTACTGGAACTGGGAAATGGTGCATGGAGTGTAAGTTACCACTGTCTTCCTCGGACATTGTTTGACTTCCCCTACTGAGGATTGGAAAGCTGTTTCATTCTACGAGCCAGTCCATTACCTTCATCGAGCCATTCGTGTACAACTTCTTTCCTTTCAACACTGAGCCGGAGGAAGTTTCAACACTAGCGAGTGCTTAGTTGGAATACAATGACGGTCGTAGGCTGGGTAATAACCCAGTCTATTTTTGTGTAATGATGAATAAGAGGGGAAAGGATCGCTCGCTGACAACACCTCTCTTGACAGTGGCCGACATATACACAAAATCTGAGTTCCACGGCATGGACCTGTCGCCCATTCAACCTGATTGGGTCCCCGACAACGTTATGTTCGTTGTCGACGACATTGAGCACGAAGCAGGGTGGACATACCCGGAAAATCATTTCGACTTCATCCACATCCGACACACATTGCACTCCATCCAAGACCGAAAAGAAATGTGGAATCGAATATACAAGTATATTATTCCTTGGACCCAGTGTTGAAATCGAACCTGTTGCTGACGTTCAATAAACGCAATAGACATTTGAAACCTGGCGCCTGGTTCGAAGTTCAAGAGTTTCATTACACTGCTGCTTGTGACGACAACTCGTGCGATGGACCGTTTGCTTTTCGTGACTTTCTTGGCTTCCTTGGGGACGGTATGGCTGCTCTGGGCTCGGATCTTCACGGTATTCTAAAATCTGAGGATGAAATATCCGAGGCCGGATTTCAAAACGTCAAAACCAAGACGCTGAAGTGCCCGGTCCTCCCTTGGGCGAAGACAGGGAAAAAGTCGGTTTGCGGCCACATGCTGCGAGAAAGCATCTTGTGGGGGCTTAAGGGGCTCGCACGTCGCCCCTTTGGCGAGGGACTGGGATGGACCAACATCCAAATCGAAATGTTCCTGGTCGATGTCCGAAAATCAATGACGGAAGTCGACCCTGCCAACGGGCTACCCAGGTTTCATGTATACTGGCCCTTTCACATCATACATGGCCAGAAACCCATGGATGGGCCATGAAGGGGAGATCTTTCAGCACGTAAAACTTGCCATATATATCAACATGGACAAGCTTATATTGGCTTCTGTTTGCGGCTCGAATATAGAAAGGATCAGGACATGGTAGGCAGGTAGCATTGCAAGGCGTCCCGGGCTGGGTGGGATGACCTCTGGCGTTATTCAAGGGGAAAGGGAACCTAATTTTACACTGTTACGACATGATGACCAAGGAGGCAGTTTAAGAGCCAGATGATATATACGAGCGATAAATAGTGGTAGCATTTGTGACCGGTTTCGGTCTTCACATTTTGGGGTATATTGCTGTGGACCTAAGCTTGATAGTTTCACCTAAATAAGACAGAACCAATTAACTCGATATACCTTGTCTTTGTTGCTGTCAAGTGATAATACGTCCTGAAACTGCTTGATATCTCCAGGAACGACTTTTGTAATGATATCGGAAGGCTAACGTGTCAGCCTAAGCAGGCAGGTAATGGTAAAACTTGATGCATGTATAGAATGGGGATGGCTTCCCTACCAAACAGAGAACAAGAAATTATTCCCAGTGAGAACGAAGAAATGCGTAGTAGGGATAGGGACCCAAGTAGGACTTATGGCCATTGTATTGTTGTCAGCTCAGTCGAGATGCACGTAACCACATCCGGGTGTCCGTCCTGTCTTTGATCTGCTATGGAATACGTCTCATGATCTATCCTCAAGTTAGCACACTATAAACTGAATCTTAGAGTTGTTCAGTTGGAATATCTACTATCTACTGGCGTAGAAATGCTGCCGATCAAAGAAGATCATTTTTGATAGATATCGCCTCGGTAAAAGTAGTTGGCTTAAGCTGACGATTTCCCCACTATCCTGTGTTTACTTGGCATGAACCTACACGAAGTCTTTTCACAAATAATTTGAAAAGATGTCAGGCGAAATTCCAGTTCGGTTGAGTGTAGTTTCGACGGGAACCAACAACAAATTGGGCTCAAAAGGCAATGAAGATTACGTTTTCGGATCAGCTGTGAAGCTGCTGTACCAAACAACGGGGGGTTGTCGGAGGGCCAAGGAGTACAAATCTCCTAGTAAAGCACGAATCGCCCAAGGAAAGATGTCGCGTAGAGCCTAAAAGGGGCTCATGTAGAATTTTCCAGTGCTAAACTTGAGATCAGGCCCAGGAAATGCGCCCAGGGTTAATTTTCTCAGCTTGAACGGCATTCTTCCCTCAGAAGCTACCGAATAAACCGCTCAAGACTGTCCAAATGTTGATTTTGTCAGTTCCGGTAGGGGGACAACGAGAATGCTTCCTAGTTTTCAGCCGGCTTCCCCGTCTCCGTCAGATTAAGCCACTGTTTACCTAGTTCGCCACGCGATCCAGTCATTCGTGCGCCAAAATGTTGGGGGAGAGAGCAACGCAACTACGTGGCAAACGCAACAGACCATGCCCTTTAGACATGTGAATCATAGCAATAACAGAGCTGGAAAGCTAGGAAATCATTGGATTATCTGTCTGACGCTCACCGGCATGTCCCGCAAAGCTGCTCTGCTTGCGACGTTCCAACGGCCTAGGCCCTTCCTCTCGGCTCTCCTCGTGTTGGGGCTGACGTACGGCACCGCTGCTGCCTACCAAGATTGGAAAGTTCTCCAACATGATTCGACGTGCTATTTTTCACGGACGCTTATGAGAAATTGGCACAGCCACCGTGAAGCAGGTAACGACGTTGACTCATCTCCATCTTGATCGCCCGCCCGCGCGAATGTACTATCTACACCCCGACCTATACCAGATCCTTGGAATCGGGAATCTCACGAAATGAGCAATGTTTCCCTCCCATATTGCACAGTGTGCGGGTTTTTTAAATGCAGATGAAGGAGGTGATTGGCCCGTACGCCCTCCATGGGACTCGCGTGAGTCACAGTTTGACAGCTGCGCATGTGAAAGGCGCAACCCTGTAGGAGCCGCGATCTGAGATTTCAATGAAACATCGCGAGGCGAAGGACCGCCACGATTTGAAAAGACGTAGAAGGGGGCGAAAGAGGCGCCAGCACGGAGCCGATGAGGAAGGGTGATCCAGGCACGAAGCACTGGCTCACTGTGGCTGAGCAGCATTTGTTAGACGTCTGCATTGAAATGGTGACTCACAGCGCAACGTTACGGCTCAGGGAGCCTCCTCGGGCAGGCAGCCGCACAGGGAAAGACCAAACCCCCGAGGCAGCCGTGAAATGATGAATTGAACGAGGGGGAAAGTTGGCGTGGGATGTCGTCCGGTTAAGAATGGGGGCGAATGGGACGACGAATGAGCATCGGGGCGGGGGGGATGCAATCGGGGCGGCAACCCCGGAGTGGGTCACGGGAGTTCGGGGCGTTGTGTGTGGCGAAGTGGGTCCAGCCGATATCTCAGCCATATTTTCGCCTGCGTGATGACGTACTTGGTGCGAGTCTGTGTGGCTGCACCGCCACATGCTTTCAAGCCGGCCCAGGCCGACGACAACTCATCACAGCTGGAATGGAGAGGAAAGTATTGGGCGTTCACGACCGGAGTCTTTGCCCCTTTCATTCGTGTGAATCCCTGGTCAGCTGATAACGCAATTAGGACGAGAACATAGCCCATATTTGTTAAGGGCCGATTTCACCCTCGCTCGGGACACGACATTAAGGGGGTCTACGGAAGATACGAAGCATACACTTAAGGCGTGCGCTCTGGTTGGCCGCGATGGCGGGCGAATTGGCTTGGGCTCAACATTTTCTGGCGACAGCATTCGCTATCATTTGGGAGAGTAGGGTCTACGGAAAACAGGCCCGTGAGTGCTAAGGTGGCGTAGGTATTTCATCACTGCGGGCGTGGCCCCTCGCAGAAGCTGTCCAACGATGAGACATGATTGCTGGCATGATGACCGAGCTGGAGGGGTAACCGACGCAATGCATCAGCAGAAAAACCTTGCGTAGCAGGACGCTGACAACCAGCTGGGATCTTGCAGATAGAGAGAGGGGCAGAGCGGAAGAGATTGGACCAAAGGATATGCGGTCTCGCCAAGTGACAGCAGATAGGCGGCAGTAAGGCGGCATCCCGTCCTCGTGGGTTGGGCACATTCGCATAAGGCTCGGGTTCGACACATGCTGTCGGGTGCACCCTCTTTCATCATGACATCGGGGTGTGTGCACGCACAAGCATGCACACACTCAGCCTGAGGTCGATTCTTTTTTCCATTTCATGGTTCCGTTTCCTCTCCTTGCCAGCTCTCACTCGAAGAGACAACAAGCGGCCACAATTGCGCGACATGAAGTCACCTATTGGGCACTTATCAAATGCCGGTGAGGACTAGCGGCGGCTGCTGAGGCCTCACCTGCGTAGGGTATCGTTTTGCCCCTACAGTTTTTTTTTCCGCACGCACAGGAAAACGATTAGTGAGGCGTCACATGTACGTCTAGCGTGGAAAGCAACATAAACAGTTCACCCATGTCGAGGAAGAGAAGCAATAAGTGGGCGCATAGAAGATAGTGCGAGGACAGGCGGGAAGTGTGTCCTTGATTGGGCTCCCAGGCGCACGGCTCGGTCATACCAAACGCTATCTGCCTTCACCTACACTTCGGTCGCGCCTGGGCAGCTCCCCACTCTAGCGCACCCCCCCTTTCGCCCCCCTTTTGTTTTTATGTTATTGTTTTCTTTTATTATGATGGAGATGGTGGTTGCGATCTTGTAGAGCGACTTGAACTGCACTCCGTCGCGACGAGGGGATTTTTTAACTGGACGCGGCTCTCCTCTCCGGCCCCCACTGCCCATTAATATTTTCGATTGATTGCTTTATTTTTTCCCTTGTCTGTGGGTGAATCACCCCGCTGCGCATTTGCCCTAATTGCGATGACTCTTGATTTGCTGGGCCGTGTCCCCCCTGCGCCAGGGACATTGAGTGGTCGAGCCCAGACCGTTCGTCCGTCCCTACCGCTGTTATTACGATGCACACCTACGTACGGATAGCAGAGGACTAATGGGGACTGCGAATTTCCGCTATTACGGGGTAATATTTGGGAACCGCTTGCCAATAGCAACACGACGACCAAGATTTGGAGCTTTGCCCTCCTCCTCCAGGGACCAGGGAGGTTTTGAAGGTGAGGCTGGGTTTGGAACCACAAAAAAAAAATACGCAAGATGATGACAATTTCAATAACAATTCCCCGTGCACCGCATCTGTGCTCGAGGCAGCAGCGCTCTTGGTACAGTGATCCCAACACGCCTGGGAAGGTATGCGAAACGGGAGTGGGAGAAATCCTGTCGCGGGCAGGCAGACCGAAGGCATTTGGTTTACTCGTGCGCACGTATATGTGTGTGCCATTGATTGAATCCTCCTTTTTCACTGTGCCGCCGTGGTATTTTCCTATAGGTCAATTTTTCTCTCTTCTCTTGCCAGCCGGGATTATAAAAAGAAAAAGAAACATTCGAAAAAACTTTCTCACTGGTCTTCTCGCTTCCCCTTGTCCGTCTGCCGGGGGCCAGCGCCAGAGAGGGGAAGCAAGTTAGTTACCAGATGTATCGGAGAGGCCAGCGCATTTTTTCTCTCTCTCTCTCTCTCTTTTCCAATAGTCGGTGAGTCCCTGGGAACCTGTTTGTTCGCTTGAAACGTCGCGGCATAGATCTTGAGTTTTACGTGATGGGATGCGATCGAGTGCGCTTGTTGTGTGTGCCCACCAGCAAGCCAGGCTGAGTTACCTCCCTCGGCCGGCCCCCCCTCCCCGCGGTTGTTATTTTTGGCTGGTGGGCATGAAAGTTGGTAAGGTAACCCACCATGACCACACCCCCAAAAGATCCTTGTGGGATTGATTTCGGGAGGGCCTAGACTTGGCTATGCCTGGGAGACAGAGAGAGTCGTTGGGCTCGGAGCTCGTGCACAATTCAAGGACGGGAACGGAGATGGGAGGACGTGATAAGAAGCGGCGATGGCGATGCGCCCGGCCACAGCATTTTTAAACCAGTTGAACAGAAAGTCTGGATCACCCATCTGGCATGTAGGGAATGGCACTGTAG